TCAGAATGCGACTTACACTATGCCATGAATCTCGCATGTTTGGAATGCGACACATATGTCGTGGTCCCCATCCACGACATTCAAAAAGTTACACTAAAACGGTAAATAAATTTTTTCCTACACCAAAGCTGGCATAGTGTAGTCAAACTACACCATGCCAGTAAATTTTCCGTCATAAGCAGATGCTACAAAGCAGCAGGAGAAAAGTGCAAGCCACTTCCTATCAACATTATTGGATTGGACCATCATTTATTCTTCCCCCACTCCACCACATTTTCAGTTTAACATCACAATGTTCATCTTGTTAGAAATTTGATTCAATTTATTGGGTCATGATAAATATATCTACAAAATTTTAATACATTCCCAAGAAAAAGTGGATGCCTTCGTCTAATACATGACCATGGGAAGGCAAATTATTTTACCCACTGAAGTGAAACATTAAAAGTAGATTGTAATATTTATATATTTTATTAGTGTACAAATTTATATAGACTCAATACATTATCTAACAACGTGAGACATATAGAATAATATACACATATAGTACTTATAAAATCTTAGATTTGTATATAGGCATGCTTAAGTAAGTAAGAGGTACAAATGCTTTTAAAAATGGTTATTGGGTCTATAGTGCAAGCTTATGTAATTAAACACATATTGATGTTTTCAGCTTAAAGGATCATTGAAACTACAAAACAAATAAACCCAAACGATGTGTACTTGCAGATCAGATCATACGTTGTCAAATTTGATCTGCTGAGTGGTTTCATTGTGTTTGGATATTGCTTATAGGGGTAACCAAAACCACTGCAACTATGGAACTGTTTGGTTCTTATTCAGTTTTCAACTTTGACTGATTGATGGATGGATTGATTGATTTTTCAATCTAGCTGCCTCACTCTGCTTCCTCTCCAGTGATATGGTTATATATAATTTAATCAAGACTTCAATTATATTTCTACTCGTTATATATAAAACTTTATCTATAACTTGGGCAAGCTTTTCATTTGAAACACAACATGCACACAGGTGTATTAACTACTGCACCCACATATGAAACACTGTATAAATATTCATCAATATGTTTAATCAGTAAGAACTAGTTTTTTTTTTGTTACACAGTAAGAACTCGTTGGATTACTTTAAAGAAACATAAGAGTTTTATTATAAAAAACTTTAAACTATATTGTGCTTATTCAAATAATTAAAAAGTATAGAAAGTCTCAGGAATAATATAACTTGTTGAAGGTATAACACTAGTCAAAACGCACCATAAACAAAAAATAAATACACTACTCACCAGTCTAAACCGGTTTAGGTTGGAGTCTTGATAGGTTAATATACCCCGCTCAAAAACTTAGGGCATTGTTTGGTTGAGATAAAAAAGAAAGGAAAAAGTGAGACGAATGAAAAATGAAGCAAAAGAATCTTTTCCATTGTTTGGTTGCATCGTAATGAGGGACATGATCTTGCTTCTGCTTCTGAGGGTAATCAAATTATCCGTGAGGATTCCAAATGGAGTCCTGAATTAGTTGCTGCTTGTGAAGTATGGAAGGAGATCAAATTTGAATTCCAAGCAATGGATACTTTGTAATCCAGTAATTCTCTTCGTTCTAATTAATTGCAGTTTAATTGCGAGTCCAATCCTTTACGAAAAGGATTTAGCGGAATAGAATATATATATATTTTCTTTTTTTATTATTAATAACTAAAAACAAATAGTAGTTATCTACCCATACCAGATCTTAAAAAAAATATAAGACAAAACAGGCGAGACTCATGCTATTATGTTTTCTTTCCAATATATCTATAAAACCATGTATAAAAAATAGTTAATATTTAATTTTTTAATTAATATGACATATTCTCATTTCTTTAGGACAACATCCGAGAAAATTAGTGACAAAATTTTCATGTCACTAACTTCCTTTACATTTAAAAAATTTGTATTTAATATTAATCACATTTATAAATATTAGACTGTAATTCAAATTCGTATTCATGATAGTCCAATTTTAACTAAGTGATTTTTTGGAAAGAGAAATCATTTCTCTAGCCATAATTGCAATCCAATTATTCTTCTTCATTCTTAATTTCCTAAAATTTCAATTGCATGTGAATGTTATTATTAAAAAACAATAAGATATTAGCTTAATGGTATAAAATCTCACTAAATTCACAGTAATACCAAAATGTTAAGAGTTCGAAAGCGATTAATCTTTTATTCATAAAGTGATAAGATATTTTGGTAGTACAAAAGATGTCATTATTAATAATAATTATATTATTTTCTCTTCAATTTCTTTCCATTTTCTATCTTAACAAATAACTAAAAAAATCACTATTTTTTCTTCCCATTTTCATCTCTCAATTTTTCCCTCGACTTTTCTTTCCCAGACCAAAAACAGTGTTAAAGTATATGCAAGAATGTTCTGGGCTATTGATCGTGCAAATTTACCTTTGAAAAAATAATATTTTCATGGTCCATATACAAACAAATAACTTCAAACTAGATGATTTATATTTAGATATTTATACGTAAACACTATTAATTTACTACTAAATGTGTAAATCATATTATACAATATTGTTCTAGTTTAATTTGATCCTACCCCATTAGTTGGTGATGTAACTTTTGGACATCGGAGATTTATTAAAAAATAAACGATACTAATGTTTTTTAAGTAGAATCTGTGTGAGTTGGATATCAATGACTAATTAGTGGGATACGTTTCTTAACTTGGATATTTATAAAATATATGTACATATTACACGTGTTTATAACACTGCCCACAGTAGTGGTCAATCATGATATTTTTAAATAATAGATATTATTAAAGTATGGAAAGATAGGAAAAAAGAGAGAATCATAACCCACAACCTGTAATAGTGCAATGATATGAGTAAATAAACTTTTCATCATCACAGTCAAACCCAAAAGCTAAAACAATCTCGGACACTTACAATAAGTACTATAGTAATTAGCAAAAGAGACTTTTGTTATATATGAGACTTTTGACGCAGATACCAAAAGTATATAAAAGTGAAAAGGAGCTGAAACTGATTTCGTGTAAAATTTAAATTTATAGAAATGGCTTATGAAGTTAGCCCATAACAAATTCGGCCGACAAGGTGCATGTTGAGGATAGCATTAATTGACTATGTTACTCCACTAACTGAAATGGAATTAAATTCTCTCTCTCATACCTGCTTAGTTCAATAATTGTGCTGAGTTATTGTTCCAATCCGCATCATGTAGCAAATTCCAAACTGTGGTTTCAGAATGTTAAAAAACTGTCGCAATTATACTTTTTTCAGAATTTCAAACATAAACAATACGCATTAAATTTTTGGTGGATCTCATTTTTTTTTTGTCTTTGTGAGGATATTTTTAATTGTATGATTAAGAGATTAATCTTATTCAAGATACTTTTGTTATTTATTAGAACAAGTATATTTTTAATTGTATGATTAAGAGATTAATCTTATTCAATTTTTTTGTCTTTGTGAGGATATTTTCATTTTTTTTTTGTCTTTGTTATTTAAACAATACGCATTAACTCGACTTTTCATCTTATATGATACTTTGGAATGAGCTTTTTGTGTTAATTCAAAAATGAGCTTTGAAAATTCGTTATGATTTATATAGTTTATGATTATAGAACAAAAATAAGTTCCAATTAAATTACAAAAAAATAATAATTTAAAAAGGTTTCATTTTATTATTTTACAATTTTAGGAATATTTAAAAAAAAATATTTTAATTAACTGGAAGAATGAGGGTAGGTCTCACCCCAATAAAAGGTTATTTGTATGGAAAAACCTCTAAAGACTAAAAGAGTAAGATTATGTGCATATCGCTATGTAGAATTTATGAAAATTGGGACCCCTTATAATATATTAGAAAACATGTCATCATGTAATTCACTTTACTGAATCAATTTAAGAATTATAATAAGGCCTCGTTTGGACTCAGCCCTCAAATATTTTGAACGGGGCTGCTTAGATGAGTCTGTGTTGAAGTTCTTTCTGCTTAGGCCACGAGGTACCATATTCTCTCGGCCCTAAGGCCACTACGATCCAATTAAGGCCATTACCCTGGCATAGAAGAAAGAGAAAAATATGTATGTGTAAGAATTTTATACTATTATTGTATCAACTACTGTTCATTTTTATTCATCATTTACTCTTAGAAAAAATAAAACAAATGAATGGTGAATTATGTATAATAAATCTGTGCACTATTACTGTATAGATATTATACTCTAAAAGAGATGTGTTTATTTTATAATAGACATGTTTGGAAAAGATATACTATCAACTAATTATATAGTATCCTCTAGGTAATATGTAGGTGCTAAATGTTTTTAATGTTGTAAAATTGTATGATTGATGTTAAAAAATTACACTAACATTGTATTAAAATTAAATTATAATCTCATAGTTTGTGAACATTAGAATTTGAAATTCTAGTATATTTGGATAACTACTAGTGGCCATATAAGAATCCTAAATTAGGAACATAAAATTAAATACAAATCTGATCATGATCTAGGACTGCAAAATAATGAAGTGGGCCCATTATTTTGACATACAAATACAATGACGTAAAGCTGGGCACATTGTTAATACACTAATTCTAGAGACAAACATACTTAAATTTGGGAACAATGAATTGTCCTAAAGAATTCATATGACATAAGTGGAAGACAACATTTATAGTTATTAGGATGATACCTTTTTTGACTATATAAGACCCAAAGTTTCACCTCTTGGTGATGATGAAATCACTCTTTCAATAATTAATGAAGTTGAAAAATGGCCTCTAGAAATGTGAAGGAGGAGTATACAGCTAGGTTAAACCACTTTGGATATATAGTAGGGCCAACTTTCTAGATTGTGAGCTCACAATCAGGATTATTGGTGCTCATGTTTTAAAGTTTATACTTTAATGATACAAAATTTCAATCTGGTATCCCTTCAATGGAAAATTGGCAGGACTCACTATTTCATTTTAAATTCCCTGAAATGTCTTCGTGACAGATAAAAGTGCAGTGTCTATGATAGGTCAAAGTTAAGCTGAAGTTTATGGGCAAGGACAACATACAAGTCTCTCATATAAATGTAACCTAAGTGCGTCCGTTAAAGACATATGTTGAAAATGAACATATTTTAGACATGGGATTTTAAAAGTGATGAATAGATGGCACCACTTCTTAATTCTAAACTAACTTCTCCACTAGCACTAGCTTTCTACATAGCCCTTTGGAAATCGCAAAAATCTATCAATGGTTCTTGAAGAAGCATGGATTAGAAGTGTGAGAGAACTGTTTCTTTGGGCTTAGCTATTGGCTTCTCTAATCACCAAGAGATATGCATACAAAAAAACATTCTCCATGAGTAGCAGATGCATATAAGTCACAAAAAGGCATGGAATCCATTAGGGTCCTTATGGCTCTAATCTTTATCTATGTATATCCTTATTATACTTCTTCTTGTTTCATCAAAATGTAATAAACAAACAAGGCCTTCCTTTGAGAAGCTACCAACTTCAATTTGCAGCTTATTAGATTCTGTTTTTCTCTTTTTAATTGTGATCATTTTGTCCCTTCTTTTTTTCCTATTGGTATAAGCTTGTTTGTGTTGAGTTATCGTTGTCTTATTAAAAATAAAAGAATAGTAGTATTATAGTTCCTTAAAGTTTTAGTCTTTTAGATTGTATTCCATTGAACTTACCTAGGAATGTCGTCGGAGTCAATACTCAATAGTGATCTTAACCCCTTGCTCCTCTCCACTGTATATATTGTTGCACATACTGACTTCGGTAGTAGTTCTGGGAACTCTATGGTAAACTAGTTTATCTTCTTCACATAAAAAGTATCTTAAAAAACAAAGTTTGCATGTCTCAAAAGTAATACAAAGGTAAATAGTTTCTTAGGTAGACACGATATATCATAGGTACTCAAATTAATATTTGTTATGTGCAAGATTGTGTGGGTCTGTGGGACATGTTAGAAATGCAGTTATCTATGAGAAAAATAACTTTTCACAGATCACCTATTAATTTGGGTGCATAGAATAGATAGATTGTGTCTGCTTAATAATCTCAGGTTGAAGTTAATAATCAAAACCATTTCAACAAAGGTCTTGTGTCTCCCTTGAACTGCATTATTTCAATGTTGAAGTTAACCAACGTAAATTTAGTACTTCAATGAGGATCGTTGACCATATCATCAAATGGTCGTTTAGGCAATTGTAGTGCATTTGCAGTATTAAAAGTATGACAAATATGCTTGCAAAGTAGATGAACACAGAAAATACACATAAACTTGTCACTCTAATTAATCTTCTTCACAAACTATAAATCTAGACACATCCTGATGTACTTACTCCCTAAAGGGAAACTAAGGAATATACACTCTTTTGAAACTAAACATATGTATAGAGAAGGAATCCGAAATCAGTTACGGAACCCTTTTAAGGAAGGTTGCTCAGGTTTCCCAACTGCCTTTTCCATATTTTAAGAGAGAAGCATACAATAATTCATTCCAAGTATCTGGTACTCCTGGCAAGCACCAATGACTGCAATCTTGGTGTAACTCGGCAGAGGACCGTTCTTCTGCTGTCTTATATTCCATTCTGTATATAGAAGGATGCCCATCTTTTCTGTAATCGGTGAGCCTACTTATGTTCATATATACCACTGGACTTCTCATCTTTCGGATGATATTATCTAAAGCCCTCATTTTCGATGGATATTTCCGTAGGTGAGTTCCATTAAATATTGGCTCGGTTTCTTTGTTGCACTGTCCTCCTGAATTCCATTGCCCACCTCTGAAACCATGTTAATACAGTATAAGAATTAATTGATCAAGGCAAACAAGATGAATATGAATCAGTACATTGCTAATGCATAAAATTGAGGTCATCTACCTTCGACATCTTAATTCCATTCATGCTAGTAGTCATGTTAAATGGGGAAAAATGGTAAGTGGTTTATTTTATGGAATAGTTGTTAGTTCAAATAAAATAAATAACTAATATAGTAAGAGGTTAACAAGTACCCAATATTATTTCAAGTTATTAATATTCTAGGATTAGCTATTGACTAAGTTGACTACAACATCAATTATTGAATGCAAGCCCACACTGTATTACTGACACTTGATCAACTAGATGATATGTTTTCTTCTAAAAAATCCTGGTGAAGTAGCTAAAGAGGATCATAATAACTATATTTTCAACTGTTGAGTTTATTTAAATTAAGCAAATAAGAAGTTTCTGTTTATATCCCCAGACTTTTGCAATATCTAATTCAATCTCATGCAATATTGTTCAGACTTCAAAGTATACTACACTATGGAACCTTCCAACAAAGACCCATGCACATTCATTAATATATATAAGCAGGTTTGTAGAAGGTCAAATGAACACAATAATAGTCAATATCAGAGAGATAGAACCTTGGTGAGTTTGCATGTCTAACTAGTTTCACATAATACATAAATTTACAGTCACAAAGTTACTTTAACTAATATAAGAGCCTACATGACAAGGTAGGGAAAGTAGCAAGCGCAGACACAATCAAACTTGGAAGGTATTTAAAAGAACAATACCTGAAATGGGTGACTGAGTATCCTCTAAAGAAAACCTGAGTTCGATTGGCATCAATGTTGTTGTCAATCCAATTAGCCCACGTTGTCAAAGCCCTCATATATGCATTCAAAACCTTGAGTCTTGGGTATACGTGGTTGCCTTCTTGATAATAGTCTTCTCTATAGCAATACCACATGACAGCAAAGTTTAAAAACCTTACTTCCAAATACCACATTAAATCTTTCTCCTTTTTTTTATTACTTCAAAGCAGTAATGCAGCAGAAAAACAACCTCACAATAGGGAGAAATGAAGAAGACAAAACGATTGATATCTTCAATGGAAGCACATTACAAAATTGCATATGATTATATGGTATGCACTATGCAGGAACTTGAATTAAATATCATGCTAAAATTTTGTTGTTATTCATCTTCATGCAGCACCATTCTAATCTATGGATTTTGGGACAACTTTTAAGCATAGACAATGATTACATAGAAAATAGACTGAACTCACCCCTTAGATGTTTTCTCATGTGTCCACCAATGGCCTGTATTGAAGACTATGATATCGGCATCATGATACATGGAAGTTGTCTGGTCCATCAAATCCAATCTTAATGTCTCAAATGACCCATTTATGCCTTTGAAAGTAGATTCTTGGACAATGAATGGTGAACTAACAAAATCTATTGAACAATTATAATCCTATAAATACAGAAAATGAAATTTTCAATGACATATCACTTCAAGGTTTTAAGTGTGCAAAATCTAAATGTACCGAAAACTTGCCTCAAATCTAAAAGCATAGACACCTTTCTTCTTAAATTCACTTTTTCCTGAAATTTCAAAAACATGTTTCTTGTCCCTGATGCTTTGACGTAGGATACATACCAAGGATTCCCACATGTTCCTGTTCAGTGAATCCCCCACAAAAACCAGCTTCTGTCCTCGCAGCCTCTCCATAAAATCAGTTGCATTCAGACTGAGATGGTCTCAATAGTTAATGAATGTACAAAGCATTTATATCTTCTTTAGTTTGAAATAACTCTCACCAGAATGCTTACACGTAAAGTGACGGTAAATCAAAACTGAGAAGAAAAAAAAGTGAAGTATGCTCAATGTAAAAGACATTTAACTCCCCTCCACCTTTGAGTTTCACAGACTCTAGTTACCGAGTATTTCTATACAGACAAACCAGTGGATCCCATATTCCCACCTGTTAATTCATAAAATCAAAAGCCTACTAAACATTATGAACATTCCTAAAGAAAGTTTGTTTGAATGAGGGGTATTTGGAGGTATGGAAGGCTAAAAGATGGTAAGGGAACATTTCCCATTGTTTCATTCAAAACTGAGAAGGTAATCTAAGTAAACCATTCCTTATTGTTCTCCCATCAAATGGGGATGATGGCTGGGAATAGCTTTTCTTTAAATTTAAAATAAAGTTAGCTACTTATCTTTATTTTTATGAAGGTTATATAAAAATTTACACGAGTAGACTCGAATTCTGATATCCAACTAACTAGAAATTTAGCCAATTATTTAATTAAATGTACCATTCACTCCTTAAAATTGCAAAGTCATTTCACATTGTCCATTTGCTATTCTCGTGGGTATACATGAAATGAGCTTGCATAATTTAAGAACTGAATCATATATTTAACCAGGAACCATGTTGCAAGTGAAGTGAGGTACATTTATATTTTATAGGGACCAAAATACCATTTTACTCAATCTAATGGAAAAGTATCATTCATTACAAAGAAAAATTATAAAAATACAAAATAACATTTTTATATTATTTGGAGAAAGTTGATTGGTTTGAGACATAAAGACATTATTATTTTGGGACAAGTGATCCTCACCGGCATTTACCTTTCCCTTATTAATAACACAAGCAAAGGAAATGCATCTATCGTTTTTCTACCATCCCCATCTCTTTCTTCTTCATAGTACCACACCCCTTTCCATTTTCTAATCATTCAGGAGGACCAAGTTACAATTTTATATTCAGAAGAATATTGTCCACATGCAAGCATTCATTCTTCAATTAATTTATTGACATATTATAATCACATTAAATCTTTCTCATTCCCTATTCTAAAAAGAATATAAACAACTTGCATTTATTTATTTTCCTATTCTGGATGAATATATTTCTAGACTATTAGTTAAAAACAGTAATCAATAATCATACCTTGGAATGTCACACCCATTTGGCTGCCATTTCCATTTCACATACTCACTATCAGGCCTCCCATTAAGGTCACAATTAAAATCTCTATCAATGTAAGGACAAGAACCTAAGGGATAATATGGCTTTGAATCATCTTTCACCCAATTACCATCAAATATGTCACACTTCCCTTTTAACCCAACATGCATTTTCTCCTCTTTTGGATCCGCGTCATGACCAATGACAGTTACACTATTCTTCTTAACCAAATCTCCTTCCATAGTTTTTGGTGTCCCAACTTCATCTGAAACCCTTGTTTTTGCAGCCATCAAGGTTACATTTTTGACAACCCCACTAGAAGGATCCGAGGAATTTAGTTTTGGAAAACGTTGTTCTTCATCATGCAAGCTTGAATTACCATGATTATCAGTGAAATTTCTCAAATGGGTATTCTCAAAACCCTCCTTTGACACATTCACTTCACTTATTTTCCCTTTTTCTTCAACCCAACTCACAGAAGAAGCATTGGTTAGAGAAGAAGAGGAAAAAGGGTGAGATGAAAAGGAAAATGGCCAAGAAGAGAACGAGGAATTAGCAAGGGAAGTGGTAGATCCACGGAGAACGTTGAAGGAACTATTAAAGAAGAGAAGAATAAGAAATAAAAGGGAAGCACCAA